CTTGGGTTTCAAGCACTTTACACAGAAGTCATAGACGAATTCTTTACATTCGTGCATATATATCTAGCATATTTTTTGCCCGCTTTTTGAGACCCCTGTAATCCCCGAGGACCATTTTTTGGTGCCGTAGCTTTTACTGCGTTTTTGGAATTTCATTACTACGCGAATTTGATTAACTCAGGAAATCATGGGGCTAGGTCGGGTGAATCAGGACTGGTATGCCCTATACTACTTGAAATTGATGTATGTCAAAAGAGCAATGTTGAATTTTGTCCAGGCACGAAAAGCTATTAAAGGATTTTGAATCGTGGAACTCGAATGTTGGACGAGATTACAGCTAAGTTGAAGTCGAAATCTTCAATGTCGGAAAAGCAACTAATAATATTGCATTGCAAGTGAAACACTGAATTCTTTATTAGAATGTTGAAAACCTGAGGTTGAATTTTGTCGGGAATATAACGCCATATCACTCGGCTACGCCTCGTGGTTGTATATCTGATACAACACGGCCACTCATACTGTATATATTACATACAGCAATATGCAGCAATTCTGATACTTTTGTATATACATAAAAGTATATCAAAAGTTTATTAGAAATTCTGGTATACCATCTCTAATATTTTTTTAAAGAAARCCCTACTGATAGGCAACCTGAATAAAATATCAGCCATGATAATCCATAATTTGTAATATACTTATATACAGTAAATCCTTAAAAACTTTGATGACTTAGGTGAAAACCAAGAATAGTTTATCATGCGCGGCAACCACAACCTCGACTTGGAATTATTATTCGTGTAAGACATAATTTACTCTTACCCCGGGCATCACTTGACGCTGAAAATCCTCAAAAACCTGTGTAAACGTTTCTCCTTTCTCGGGAGCAGTAGGAGGGAGCTGATCGATTAAAAATCCTGGTTTTACATCAGGGTTTACGCGAAGACTTGCGATATTTTCATGGTAATCAGCTATGTAGTCGATCATCTCTTTGCCCCTTTCTCGAAACTCTTTAGCGTCCATCGTTTGAATATCTTAGGACTAGAAGGTTACGCAAGTACTGTGTTCGGCTGTAGTCAGGTTACCCTGCGAGCAGAGTCTCCTTTTAACTCCTATACGGGCGAGAGAAGGAAAGGAGACTCTGCAGAAAT